CTTGATCGTGCTTTCCTTTTCTTCCTGTGCTGCATGTTGACATATTTGCATTTTGGCTGTGCAATGTTTACGCAAAAGGAAAAATGATATAAAAAATGTCTTCCTAGTCGAGAATTTTTTCAAGTTGGTCCTTCAAGTATTTTTCTGACTCTTTTAAAGTTGAAAAATGTAACTCAATTGGTTTTAAACTTTTTTTTTTTTTGTTTTTTGTTTTTAACTCATTCAACCACTAACATTAACTAATGCCATCAGCCGTTCCATTTATGAAAATAATGTCCAATTCGACTTAGGACTTACAAATGTTAGATTAGAAATGAAAAATATGGATTAAGGAAAATTTACAAAATTGTAGTGGACTTTAGTTATTATCTTTCATTGTGATCATTTGTTTAAGGAAAAAGCAACTTCATAATAACATTTTACATGCATTTCTATTTTTAATCCAGTTCAGCAGCCATACATGAACACCTGTTTCTTTCATATAGAGTAAGAGTCTGTTTGATAGTGATTTTAAGAATTGATTTTTTGACCGTTAGGAGAAAAGTGGGGTCCACCTGTGAGAGAGGAAGTCAAATATAACTGTTGAAATAGTGAAATAACGATCAAAAAATCAATTTTTTGGATGAAAAAATGGCTCCCAAACAGGCCCTAAAATTTAGTGATTAAATAAGTCAAAAAAAAAAAAAAAACTTAAGGATTAATGTAAAATTCTGCTCAAACATTGATGACCATATGCGAAATTAGCTCTAAAACCAAATAGTAAAAAGACAATGATACATGTACTTACACATTTTTATCAATATATCCTAGTAAAAAAGAGGACTTAAATTTCATGTCATGCGCAGCTTAAAGAACACTGACGTATGACTCTTCCCATCCATTAGACTCTTAAAAAACCTCGAGGAAATGAAAAGGCCCGATCCCAGCTACCCATTTAGAATCCAAGTTTGAAAATTCCAAAAACGATGAAGGTCAAATTTAAGTACATTGTATTTTAATTTAAAGAAGAGATCATAAAATTGAAATACTAACTCTTTTCCCCTTTTTTTTTTCACGCACGTGTACAAGTATTAAAAAAATAAAAAATGAAGAAATAGAATTTAAAATTGTACCTTCAAGTCTAAATACGATATTAGAATGTTAACATATATACATGTGACGGTGACGGTTCTTATTTCTATTTTGTCTAGTTCAGAAAAGTAATTAGGTAACAGCATTCCGATTCTCTCTTCCAAATTCAATATTATGCTACCTGTTCAAAAACTCGTAGAAATTTCTATATCCGGTGCTCCTCCCCGCCCCCGGTGAAAGTGACAAAAACTCCCACTTAAAACACAATAATCAAATTCAAATCCTGTTAATTCTTTATTTAGAAATGGATTTTTCTTCTTCGTTTAAAAATTCATTGAAATCCCATGGTTCATGTAAGCATACGCGAAGAATTTCTGTAGGTAATGCCAAAGAAGACATGAACGCCGAGCAACAGCCTATTCTTTCCGATCATCGACGGGATTCATCCTCCGCCGCCGCCGTAGACAGCCACCATCTGTCTCGATCGTCTCTCGATTTGGCCGACCGCCGGGAAGTCATAGTGAAAATCGATGGCGGAGATCGAAACGCCAGCGTCACCCCTACCCTCACCCCAAATAGGCGGGAATCAAGCTTGGATTTTTGGAGAGACGAGGGAAACTGCAGCATGCAAAAAGGATCATTCGATTTCCAACGTGGAGATGGAGATGGAAAGGACGTGGTTGAAGATCCGCCCTCGAAATTGATCGGCCAATTCTTGAATAAGCAAAGGGCGGCCGGCGGAGAATTATTGTTGGATATGGAATTGGAAATGGATGAATTACGACATGATCGTCGTAAAACTAGTAGTATTGATAATGTTCCTCGTTTTTCAATGTCCAAGGAGCTGAAGGTTTCATTCCAATCCCCTTCCGTGAATAACAGTACTAGTAGTAATATTGTGATCGATGATAAAAAACATAGTACAGATGAGGATGAATCTTTTTCCGAAGAAGAAGATGACGGACATGATAATCAGAAACTTTATAATCGAAGGCCACTGTCGAACATCAAGATGGAAGGAAGTATTCATAATGGCATTTGTGACGATGGACAGGTTTTGAGGTGCACGCCGATTCAGAGGAGGGCTAGTGTGTTAGGAAGGTTGAAGACTAAGTCGAGGTTGATGGACCCGCCCATGGTGCCAGAGAGAAGGTCAGGGAAGATAAAATCTGATCCACTTCGTTCGGGGTTATTGGGAAGGGTATCGGGAATGATTTCGAAACCAGCAGAGGAAGAAGAGGATGATTCATTATTTGATGAAGATTTTCCTGATGAGTATAAGAGGGCAAAGTGTGATGCACTAACTTTGGCACAATGGATTGGTCTTATTTTGATTGTGACATCTTTATCTTGTACTCTGTCTATTTCTAAGTGGAAAAGTAAACAACTTAGAGGGCTTAGATTGTGGAAATGGGAGGTATTGGTTCTTGTTTTAATTTGTGGGAGATTGGTATCAGGATGGGCTATTAAGATAGTCGTTTTCTTTATCGAGAGGAATTTTTTTATGCGAAAACGGATTTTATATTTCGTTTATGGAATTAGGAAGGCTGTTCAGAATTGTATTTGGCTGGGATTGGTTTTACTTGCTTGGCATTATATGTTTGATAAGAAAGTTGAAGGGAATAATGAGTTCCTTACATATGTTAACAAGTTGATGGTGTGCATGTTGGTGGGAACATTGTTATGGCTAGGGAAAACACTTATGGTTAAAGTTCTAGCATCTTCATTTCATGTCAGCACTTTTTTTGATAGAATTCAGGAATCACTGTTCAATCAATTTGTGATTGAGAAGTTGTCTGGGCCGCCTTTGATTGAAAGACAGAATCAAAAGGAGGAAGAAGAGAGGACTGTGGCCGAGATTTGGCGGCTTCAGAATGCAGGGGCGACTCTACGCCCTGAACTCAGACCACATGCTATTCAGGATGCTAGGAGTGGTAATACAATGGGAGCAGGAGGCGGAGGAGGACTAAGCTTCAAGATATCTGGACCGTTGCCTAAGACTAATCAAGATGATCAGGGCATATCTATTGATCGCTTGCACAAGTTAAATCCTAAGAATGTGTCGGCTTGGAATATGAAAAGGTTGATGAATGTAGCCAAGAATGGGGTTCTTTCTACCTTGGACGAGCAGGTTATTGATAGCTCACAAGGCGAAGAGGCTTCTACCCAGATTGGAAGTGAAAGAGAGGCCAAATGTTCAGCAAGGAAGATATTCAGGAATGTTGCTCAACCTAGGGCCAAGTAAGTCTTTAGATCACCATCTTGGTAAATTCGAGCTCTAATTTTGCCAGAGTTTGTAAAATCTAAAGTAAAATGCTGATTTATTAATTTGAGTTCCTCCGATCCAAATTTTCCATAGTGGTCACTTCTCGTCTCTGCTGCTTGATCCAAAATTAGATGCTCATATAGTTGTCATATCAAGTACAATTGATTGTCCTCTTGGATTTATTGTAATATGATACATGTACATTCGGATAATATTAATATAATTCGTGCCCTATCAGATTCATCTACCTTGAGGACTTAATGCGTTTCTTGCGAGAAGAGGAGGCTTTGAAAACCATGAACCTTGTGGAAGGATCACCTGAAAGTGAAAAAATCAGCAAAGGATGCCTGAAGAACTGGGTGGTATGTTCTAAGTTGTTGGTTCATTATCTCAAAATTTTCATTTGTACATTTTCTTGAAGCATGGCTCTAAAGAGAGTGATGTATCATTGTGTTTATGCCCATTCTTTAGGTTAATGCATTCAGAGAACGAAGAGCTCTTGCCTTGACACTTAATGATACAAAAACAGCTGTCAAAAAACTTCACCAAATGGTGAATGTGATAGTTGGTATCGTCATCTTGATCATTTGTCTAGTAATACTAGAAATTGCAACGAGCAAGTTTCTGCTCTTTTTAAGCTCTCAAATAGTCGTTGTGGCATTTATATTCGGTAATACATGCAAGACAGTATTTGAAGCTATCATATTTGTATTTGTAATGCATCCTTTTGATGTGGGTGATCGATGTGAGGTGGAAGGAGTTCAGGTAGACTCTTAATTATCCTTTTTCTCTATATGTAATATTTGGTTCTTATTTACAATGTTTAGGACATTATCAAATCTATATCCTTAATTTGACAAATTTCAGATGATTGTCGAAGAAATGAACATCTTAACTACCCTTTTTTTGAGATTCGACAATCTGAAGGTATTATATCCAAACAGTACCCTTGCAACCAAACCTATCAGTAACTTCTATCGCAGTCCTGATATGGGTGATTCCATTGATTTCTATGTGCATATTGCTACACCAGCAGAGAAAATTGCTATCATGAAGCAGAGAGTAGTGAAGTAAGTATTAATGAGTGCTAATGCCGCTTTCTGAATGTGTTTGCTTCATTGAACAAAATAACTCAGTGACTCGGTTTATTTTATCATCATTGACTAACCATGTTTGATGGTTGTATCTTGCAGTTATATTGAGAATAAGAAAGATTATTGGTACCCATCACCGTCAGTTGTGTTGATGAATATTGAAGATTTGAACAAATTGAGACTCTGTGTATGGATAAGACACAGAATGAACCACCAAGATATGGGGGAAAAGTGGCAAAGGCGAGCCCTTTTGGTTGACGAAATGGTTAAAATTTTCAAAGAACTAGACATTGAGTATCGTTTGTACCCTCTCGACATCAACATTCGTGCAATGCCTCCTATGAACTCCACCAGACATCCTTCAACACCAGAATCCAAGCAATTGAATTGAAATTGTTGATGAATGCCGCTGTTAAGAGTATGTTTGCCGGGATATAATAAGATTTTAGTTTCGTTTTCTTCTCTTGTGCAATACTGTACAATCCACTCTGTGAACCGAACCATTGAGGTTCTATTTTGCACAATCCCTTCTGCCTTTGAAGGCTGCAGCATATGTGAGAGTTTGTAAATTGACGAAACAAGGGAGATTTTTCCTTTCCTCCTATCTACAAGTTGATGATTTTGCATTGCATTCTCTGTGTGTATATCTCCATGAGTACACTTGTAGGAAGATAAACATAAAGCGTTTTTAAATATTATCGATCAATGATTACATTCATTTTCGTGGGATTTAAGGCAGAAAATGTATTCAAACATTGATCAATAATATTTTCATCTTATTTACTCTATTGTGAGGATTTTACTAAACAAAAAGAGTGATATTGTTCCTTCGTTTATAAAAAATTTCAATTTTGAAGAACTTTTATGATCATCCAATAAGAAATAATAAGATTTTATTGGAAAAGTCCATATTCGGTTCATCTTTCGAAATACTATCACACCTTGAATCTCTCCGTTAAATTTGAATTTCTTGGCTCCAAATTTAACTGTTGGATAGATTTATGTGAAAGAAATGTAATAACCAATGAGCCAAAAAAAATTGAATAAAAACTAATTTTTTATGGTCGGAGATCGAAATGTTATATAAGTGTCAATTGGGTGGGATTGGACAGATGCCAGCCTAGGCCGAGCCATATACAGGCAATCGCCACTTAACCCAATAAAATTTCTCAAGGGGAATTTCCTCCTCCAATTTCATATATGTGATCTACAGGTACACTACAATGTTCATAATGATGTTCATCCTCTTCGCATGGAGGAAGATCCACTTCGAATAAAATATAATTTATTCGAAGTGAGTACACCTCTAACTAAAGAGATGAACATCGTTACGAACATTGCATTATGGATAAATGACATATTCCTAAAGAAATACCCAAGGCATTGACATCAATGGAAGTCCAATAACTAAAAAATTCGTTAAAAACGGTTTATGAGTAGTAGTGGGTTAAAGAACTGGGCCGAGCCTTATAGAATGTAAATGGACCATGATGTCATAACACTACACACGCGGGTCCCAATAGATTTTGCATATAAAAAGTTGATGATTATGTAATAGGACTCATAAATATACATGAAGGTTTCTGGTGAAAGTGGATTTATTAAACCCTAATTGTCTACATTTTTAATTGGCACATTTATGAATATTAAACACCGTTAGTGTTAGTGATAACAGAATTTTTCCATTTATACATATATACAAGTCTGAAATTCTCTATATTTTTTTGGTTTGGGGGATTATGACGAGAAAGAAGGTCGGAACGAGCCTTGACGCGGCAGTCGTTGATGTTTGGAAACGTGAAGTCGGCGCGTTATCCACCCGAAACTTCGCCCGCCGTTTTGCTGCTTCCGTGGTTTTTCCCTATTTACTTATTACTGCATTCTTCTATACGCCATTCTTAATTTGATTTATTTAATTGATAGTTTTTAAGCTTATTTTTGATACTTTGAGGTTGCTTGGGTAGCATTCCATTGGGATCTCAGAATTCGAGTTAGAAATTATCGTATTCAATTTGAACTAATTTACACGAAGTTCCTCTTTTAGTTCCATTTTTAGTGCATTAGTTGGGTCAAGCGTCTAATTGACAGCATGATTTTAGTATTGGAAGTGCGGCAGTGAGAATTGCTATTAACCCGGAATTTTAAAAAGTGAGCACTCTACAAAGTTTACTTTGTTGGGTACTCCTTTGGAAATGACATGATGTATTTTTGAATTATTTGGTGCGAGATTATTACCATATAATCTCTTCATCCCGAATTGATTACCTCTTCTCCTTTTCGGATGAAATGTATCAAAATTAAATAAACTTTTCTTCAAATATCCTTTCTTCCACTTATTTTAATAACAATCCCCTTTTCAGTTTGTACATTTTAAAGTTGAGACTTGGTTCTACATGTTACTTTATGTCACAAATCAAGGTACAAAACCAGAAATTGATTCAACACATTTGATTTTCGGCTCCAACCTAAATGACTATGGCAAGTCATAGCATGGTTCTCAGTTTGGGACACCGGAGTATTTCTCATAGCATCTTCAATTGCGAGCTATAGGGAAATTAGTTCTTTTGCAGATTCGAATTCTTATATACTCACATTTCTCTGCTATATATTTTGACACCAGGATCTTGTGCTTCGTCTTGATATCCTCCTGAAGCTTGAGAAGCACCGAGGCTGCGTGAACACAGTTAGCTTCAATGCTGATGGAGATGTTCTTGTGTCTGGCTCTGACGATAGGAGGATCATGCTCTGGGATTGGGAAATTGGTCGTGTTAATCTCTCTTTTCATTCAGGTCACCATAATAATGTTTTCCAAGCAAAGATCATGCCTTACACTGAGGATCGAAGCATTGTTACCTGTGCTGCTGATGGGCAGGTAATCTGATTGACCTATTTTCTGTCTATGGACAGATGAGGTCAGCCCGGGGAATGTTTACTTCTATCATCAAAGTAGTGGCACTGTGCATCTTAATAACAATTGGAATTGATCTGAAAGTTTTGTAGTTGAATAGGTGATATCAGTCACTAATGGAAAATATTTGAGAAGAGAAGTTGGAGTATTTATACATGTATGTAATTCTGTGCCTTGAACTATGAAGTTTTGAAAGCTTATGTTCTTACGTGGAGAGTTCTTAAATATAGGTAAGGCATGCTCAGATTCTTGAACGAGGAGAAGTGAAGACTAAATTGCTTGGAAGACATCAAGGAGCAGCTCATAAGTTGTCCATTGAGCCTGGAAGCCCTCATCTTTTTTACACCTGTGGTGAAGATGGAATGGTTCAGCATGTAATTTGATTTATTCTTATCTAATTGTCGCTTTTTGTTGTTGCTTCTTTCATTACAAGAATCTTGTTGATCATTGGACTTTTATGCCCTTTTATTTTCTGAAACCCCTGTGAAAATTCGTTTATTGTGAAGTGTTTAGTCTAGGTGTAAAGGTCCACCAGTTAAGCATGCAACGTACAGGCTGCAGAAGTGGGAAGTTCCTCCCACCTTGTTCCTTTTCTTGTTACTTTTTCTTTTTGAAAGGAATAAAGGCTACTGGAAAATTTTCATTACATGATTGTAATACATGACCAGCACGTCACATTTCACATGACAAATGATACTTATATGGATACCTTTTTCATATCTTGCAATTGGCTTTTTGAAGTTTACAAGTCTAATAGTGTGAAACCATTGTAAATTCGACAGGTTGATCTGAGAACTGGAGCTGCTGCTGAACTTTTTACTTGTCAACCTATCGAGAGCCAGAGATTTATGTCCATCATCCATCTAAATGCAATTGCAATAGATCCAAGAAATCCTAATATCTTAACTGTTGGTGGATCAGATCAGTTTGCTCGGTTATTTGACATCCGTAAATGTAAAGTAGAGGGATCAACTGATTTTGGTCAACCTGTTGATTTCTTTAGTCCCCCTCATTTAGTTGATGATGAAGATGTGGGAATAACAGGGGTGGCATTTTCTGAACAGAGTGAGCTTCTTGTGTCTTACAGTGATGAGTTCATCTATCTTTTCTCTAGGGATATGGGACTGGGACCTGATCCACTTTCTACCTCTCAAGTTTTCCATGGCAATGATGCTGGGGATACGAGCCCTGTTAATCATTCAGTTGCATCTTCATCAGACATGGATGCCAATAGAAAAGCATCTTCCAAGGCCTACAAAGGGCATAGAAACTGTGAAACTGTGAAAGGCGTGAGCTTCTTTGGGCCAAACTCCGAGTATGTTGTGAGTGGATCAGATTGTGGTCGAATTTTCATTTGGAAGAAGGGTGGGGAACTCATTCGTGTTATGGAAGCAGATAAACATGTAGTTAATTGCATTGAGTCTCATCCTCATACTATGGTGCTTGCCAGCAGTGGGATAGAGAGTGACATAAAAATATGGATTCCTAAAGCTATTGATAGAGCTACTTTGCCAACAGACATTCAAAAGGTATGTGATGATTTCAAAAGCAAGCCCACCTTTCTCATAATTTTTAGGGGGGTGTATTCAATTGGGATTTTTGAAGGTTTTAATGGACTTTTTCTAAATGACGACTTCTGTAGACTTCATGAATCATTTATAAATTTGTATGAAATTAGTGGAAGTTATTCATAGACTTCTATTGACTTTCATTTTAAATTTTTATAAACTTTTGTAGAATTGAAAAGACTTTTAAAGACTTTCGTTTGAAATAGAATTCACGTGGTTCTAGTGCAATAGTGTGAAATTCTCACATACGAGGTGTTGGTTCCCACAATTCTTTTCCTTCCCCTTCTTCTTCCCATATAATAAAAAAAAATTATAGAAGAATAAAATTTAAGACGTTAATTAAATAAATAATAATCAAAGTTATACATATATATGATAGACAATAAATTTAATATTTGGTATTTTTAATATAATATACTTTTAAAAATAAATAAAAATTAATATATTTAAATTTGATATGAAAAATTTATATTTTAATATAAAATAGATATTTTTCACAAAAAAAAATGAATGAAAAAAGAAAAAAGTTAAAAAAATCCAATTTAATTTTTTTATGGAAAATAGAGATAAACAATAAGAGAGAGAGAGAGAGAGAAATAAATGAAAATAAATATAATCAATAGAAAAAAATAAATTTTTATCATACCTGTTCGTATAAAAAAAAAAAAAAAAAACCTTCTCTCTCAAAATCTTATGATTAATAAGAGACAAATTTTAAGATTTTATATTAGTACTTTATACTTAAAAGTTAGTAATCCAGTGACTTTTATAAAAGTCTATAAAAGTCACTAAAATTTAAATACCCCAAGCTTTGTAGAGATTTCTAAAAAGTTTTAATTGAATGTACCGTAACGTTTAGAGATTTTTTAAAAGTATATAAAAGTCTCAAGTAAATACATCGTGACTTTTAGAGACTTCTTAAAAGTATATAAAAGTCTCAATTGAGTACATCACTACTTCTAGAAAGTCTTAATTAAATACCCCTAAACTTTTTAAATCCCCAAAAAGCTTAAAAGTCTCAATTGAATATACTTCTCTTAATTTAATTTTGTATCAGTATTGGAATCTAATGTAGTGAATGATGAAATTTTGTCATGGTAAAATATAAATTAAGAGAAGTACAAATTAGTTAATTGTCATAGTATAAATTAGTGCAGTATTCAGAAAATGCGTCTCTGCAATCAATTGGAATATACACAGGGTCATATCATTCGGGTTGCCTTCTCAATAAATCTGATACTACAAATTTAGTTTACCTTGAGAAGTTGAGAAATCATTTTCATTAGGGCTGCTCACAGATCAAAATCAACTTTAGCGTTCAAATAGAGCTCTGGGTGCTGCCATCATTTGAAAGATTCACTACATATCTCGACATGAGCCGGGGTCTTATATCTGGTTTTCTTACTATGTAATAGCGTCATTCTCTGTGGAATTACACTATGATCAAAGAATTACAGATTAGTGAAACTTGCTAATAAATTGTTAATTTTAAACTTGCATTTTAAAATGTTGTTTTAGATGACATCTCTGTTTAGAAACTTCATGGCAGAAGAGGAAGTTCTTACGTCTCTGTATTCTTTATAGGATAGAGTCCTGAACTTCACCCCTCGTCTATTTGGTTTCCTTCCTCCCTTCGGTGTCTATGACGACAATGAAAGTGATGATGATGGTGACGATGATGATTATGATACTGATGACGAAGATGAAGATGAAGATGATAATGAGGTTGAGACTGATGAGCAGGAAGAAGAGGAAGATAGGGAAGAAGACGATGGTGAAGATTTTATTTTCCTTCAAGATACTGATGAACATGATAATGAAATTGATGGTTCAGAAGATTTCTACGATGATGAGGAAGAAGATTCTAGTGAAAGTGAGGAGATGGATTATGGTAACGACAGTGCAGATGATTGATGATTATAGTGATTTTGGGGGTGTTGATGGTGACTTAGATGACCGACAATGATGGATTTTATTGATGGTGAAATTGACAACAATGAAGGTGATCTTGTTAATTGTGTTGCCGATAATTTTGCTCTTTCTATTTCCAGCAAAGACCCAAAGCAAAAGCTTGGATGTACCACTCAGTTTCTCCTCGGGACCTGCTGTTGAACTTGTTTTCCCTGCAAATGAGACGGAGGACAAGTGCAGAGGCAATGCGGAGAATTCAGATGTGTGATAGGATCGGCTACAGCTGCTTCTCTCATAATACTAAGTATGATGGTTCGTCAGAAGATGGTGGAGATACCTCCACTAATAGAGACATTTCTATTTGAATGATGCTGGAACAACCATTTAGGTCTCAAACAAGTTCAGAAATCGTATATAGCAGTACATTGATTAGGTTAAACTATAATAGGGTGTGCTTTCTGTTTTTCAATACTTATTTGTTCTCTTTTTGTTAGCATATCTATTGATTTATTTTTCAAATATCTTGCCTTCTTTTTCTTCTATTTATCCTCTTATTTTCGCGTGCTAGTCTCACCTGTATATTTGGGCATGTTGTGGTGTGGCTTTAGATTGCAATACCTAGCTGACTGAATACTGCGATGTCAAATAATGAGATAATCTCTAGTTGTTTCCCATATGGGAAATATTAAATACAGAATAATGATGCGAAAGTTTTACACTCAAATTAACAGTAACAAAAGGATTATTCCTTGTAAAAGTGTTCTTATCATCAATTCTATTGATTCTTTTACAAATCAATTTTAGATAAATTCATATCGCATTTATATACGACAATGTATACATTGAAATCAAACCATTATATACACTTCCAATTTTTTATCCTCACAAATGCACCGCATAAATGAAACTTTATGCCAAAGTAGGGGCAGAGCAAGTATTCCGATTTAGGCCTCTGTTCACTTCTCTGTCTTTTGGCATTAAGGGAATAATCTTTATCACTATACTCAGAATGAATCCTATAAACTGCACATAAAAACAAGTGATTACGTTTGTTCAATAAAAATGTAATAAAAGCTTGAACAGCTGCCAATTAAAAGACTATTAGCCTATAAAGTGAATGTCCTTACCCAAGCAAGTCCAATGCACAAAATACTGAAACCGGGGAAATTGAATGGAGCTCTCTCAGACAAGAACAAAGCTGGAAAAAGGCGCAGTGTTAAGGTGTAAGCCAGCAGTTGAGATTTGAGAGTTTTCAACACCAATCATACGATATGTACGATGATGATTGACAGTGTTTGTCAAACAATCATCATCATATTAATCTATTTCAAAAAATTTAAAGAACGGTATTTTAAATAAATTGTCCATATTTTACCACATCAAACATTGTCAACTATGATCGTACAAGTAGATTAATTATTTCATCACAAACAACGAAAATTTTTAAATCACCTGAAAGAGGGCTATATATTAATGGAGAGATGACATTGGCAAATGATGCTATTCCCAAAAGGCAACCCTGAGCAATCCCCTATTAAATGGAAAAAGTGGATCAGCAGTTTGGAGAAAAACTATGGGTCACTTGTATCCGCGAAAACTTACTTGTTCACAGGGTCCAACTTGTTTTGAAACAATGCATCTTATCTGTAAGTGTAAAATACATTTGTCAGCGAAATAGATGAGTAGAGCATGCTCATATTATAGTGTACGGAACTCACACTTGGGCTTGCAAGGAAAAGGAAAACACTCAACCAAGCAGAAACATAGGGTACCTGCAGATGGGACAAAAACGATGCATTTCAATATTACACGAGTGTCGGTTAACAAAAAGAAACAAATTTGTAGCAAAACTTGCACTATAGCAGAGGAGTTACCCAAGAAGACCATGCTAAGCTGTAAAGTAGCATCTGCAAAAAACCAGACAACAAATGATCAAATCTGTGCCCCAACCCCCCATGTTTGGAGAAAAAGAAAAAAGTGTGTTAAAAAAGATGGAAGTATACATTCAGGAATCCAGCAAAGAGTCCTACAGAAAGCAGTATCTCCTCTCCTATAAGAGGTCCCAATATAGGCATGAAGATCATCTGCACAAATTCTTAAATTTTAGTAGGTCTATATGTGAAGCCACCAAAATAAACGAAAAGAGGAAATAACTTCATATAATAATTAGCAAAAATGACTCATTTGAGAATACATTTGATACGGTCGCTCCAATGTAGGTAATGAGCCATATATCAGCAAATTGGTTTTTTCTGAACTGGAAGCGCGCCTTTAAGTAATACTGCAGGGGAAAAAGTACCAATACTGTGAAAATAATATTTCATTTGTATTGAGAATTATCATATGCTAAGTAATAAAAAGAAGAAGAAAAATATTATATCCACAATGTTGTCACTATATCAACAACAATTACATAACAACACGTACAATCAATATCTGTAATGTTACTATACATGCCCAATGATGCATTTGAACAATAACCACAATAATGAAAGAGAGTACCATTAAGAAGGCTTGAACTCCAGCCTCAGCAAGGCTATTGAAGAAAGCAACAAATGCTGCTACCGAAAACGTAGTGCTGCAGTAAGAGGATTGCAAGATGATTGACTATTCTTTTAGCACATCCAACAAAATAATAAAATTACTCAGAAAAGCTACATTCCAATGAACACAAAAGGATAAAAACAATATTACTACTTCTAGTAGAAAATGAACAGTTGACAGTGGAGATGAATAAAGAGCTCTGTGTCCTTCATAGTCAAGAAAGTGACATGCATAATGGAATTTCTTGAGGTTTTGAAATGTTAATACAAAAGAAAAGTTCGAGGAGATGTTATCCTACCTGCTCTTAAGCAAGTGAATGATATCCTTTGGTGATGGAATTTGCTTAAAGAAATCTATCTCCCTTAATGATTCACAACCAACTTGATCTCTATCAGTTTCTGGCTTCAAGATTGGCTCCTCCAAAACATTAGTCTGGGGAGTGAGATCCTTAAGAAAGATTCTCATGTACACAGCAGCAGCAATGGATACGGCTGCTGCAACCTGAATGAATTGAATTACACGCTTATTAGCATCAAAAACATACTAAGCTCGGGTTTAGAAAAACGCAGTAGTCATTTACAGCCAAGTAAAATGAAGGAAATTTAATTCAAGAAAGACCTGAAATATCTGGGCCGTGGACAGTAAGCGAGCAGCGAAGGTACTACAAAGAGATGCACCCGAAACTACACCTGCCAGGACTCCAAATGCAGAGACACGCTTTCCCTCTGTCACACTGTCTGCCTGGAAACACAAATATTTCCCAGTTATAATTCAATATGAGTTTATTGTTAACATTGCACTCTCAAATAGCAGTCATCTTAGCTCGTATTTAATGATTCTAATTACTAGATTTTTCATATGATATGTAGGAATTCTGTAAGCAAATGGCAGGTAGTGTAATATCATTACCGTATTCTAGATTTTTATAATTTTGATTAATGTAAAATAAGTAGATAAATCAAGAAACATGATGCAAAACTAAAAAACCACATTAATGTAAGAGTAAGGAATTATAGCAAAACGAAAGAATGAAATAAACTGAAGCATCATATTCAAAGGATAACCGAAGACCTACAAAAGGGAAAAAAGAAGCTTGCTTGAGTTTAAGATAATCAGTAGGATCCCAGCCTAGAATTTCGATTCCAAGGCCCCAATTTACCACTACCAAATAGCATGTGACTCCTAAAAGTTTCCTCTTCTCTTAAATTCGTAAATTTTCTTTGGCAGAAGGCAACGCAAGGGTAGCATAGATAAACAGGATAAGGGAAGAAAAGCATGTGGAGAACCATATGCATGAAGAAATAGAGAAAAGTTTAGAATTACCAAATAACCAAGAGAAATGCATAGAACACCGCCTTCGCAAACCATGGCTGTTATAGTCTTCAACACATAATATGCGTAGAAGAAGTTCGTTGTCCTCTCCCATGCCAGTATTGCTGCATATACGTGGACAGTGTGTGTAAAAATATTGATGTAAACCATGAACAAGAAAATATGAATTAGGCTGCTTGGAGTTTCATGTACAAGTTCCAGGCTAGTAACCAAGTAAAGTTTCAGTCATGATTTAAACCACAAGATCAATGTACAAGACACTAATAATACGAAAAAATTGCAAATGAAATTATGAAATTGGTACCTAATGGGATGATGGAGAGAGTCATAGGGATGGTGAGCAAAGCTTTCCGTCCATACGCATCTGACATATTCCCAATCAGTGGCATTATGACCACAGACCCCAATCCTGCAATCTGCATTCAGTACATATAACATTAGAAGTTCGTAAATTGTTCTATCCCAATTTATTTGACCATTACAGCTTCTGTTAGATTTTCAATCGCGTTTATTATGGAACCTCGGAGCACAACAAAAGTAATTGTCACATCCTGCGTCACGAATTTGCCAGAGGATTCACTTATACTCTCTTTTGTTACCCTGTGTTTGCTATTTATTATCCTCACAATTAGAGGGATCATTTCAATATATTTATAAATTGAACAGTAAAGGAATTTGTTAAGAGTGGCACATGGCATTATGAACACCCCTATATATATGTTTATATACCTATAGCACTACTCTTCAAAAAAACGTTCCCCAACATGAGACGTCAAGTGATAAAAGAAATAAAACTACATTTTAGAACTAGTTGTTGCCAGATTTCCAAATATCCGGTCGATATACATATGGTTTAACATGTGATTTCCACCAGACATTAAGGATGAAGGTCTTATTCAGGTAGAGTTTTATGATCATTTTCTATTAACAAGCCATCTTCTTTCCAAACAT